AAGCAAAAGATAGGGACGCCTGGGTGGCTCAGTGGGTTAAGCCACGTCTTCGGCTCAGGTAATGATCCCAGGGTCCTGGGATCGAGCCCCGCATTGGGCTCCTTGCTTGGCGGGGAGCCTGCTTCTCCCTCTCCCTCTGCCTGCCACTCTGCCTGCTTCTGCGCACTCTCTCTCTCTGACAAATAAATAAATAAATAAAATCTTTAAAAAAAAAAGCAAAACGTAAATTTATGGTTAGCCCCCAAGATTTCTCTTCTTGCAGTTCTACTGCCCAGGAATAGTTTAGTATTTCCTTTCAGAGGTTTCTCTAGACTTGTATAAAACATACTAAACGTTGTATATCATGTGGCTTAATCATATGGAGATCTCTGGGTACTACCTCTGGGTCTGTCTCCTTGTCATTGTGGCATGATCTGCTTCGGAATTCATCTAACCATTTCCAATACGAGCACTTGCTTCTGATTTTGATTTGCTTCTGATTTGGTTGCTTCTGATTTCCAGGATGCAATTCTAATCTTTCCGCCAAAACTTTCCCAAGAGAATGCTGTCCATCCTTGTCTCCTTGGTGACCCGAGGCTGCTGACATGAGTGACTCTTCCTTTCATCATTGACCCCCTGCAACACTGAAGATGTCCTCTGTCTCCTACATGTCCACGAAGCGATCCCTTCGAGGCTCATCTCTTAGTTTTGTTGCTCTGTTCTTCTTTTGGCTTCCATTTAGACTTGTGCGGCTTTGATGCAAGATCCCAGATCTGGCCCCCTGGGATGCGAGATCCCAAGATCTGCCCCCCTACTGCCGTGCAATGGTAGCGGCCCACACAGTGTGTGCACTTTGACCGACCCAGTCCTGCCCTCTCTTTTCCTTGGGTTCTGACCTCTGCAAGACACCAAGTAACTTTCCAGGTGACACGTTCCCTAAAGGCCTTTACTTGAGACCCTGGTCCTAGGGCCCCAAAGAACAGAAAACACAGCAGTGCCCTTGTCAGTAAGAGTCCGCTGCCCCGGGGCCCCTGGGTGGCTCAGTGGGTTAAAGCCTCTGCCTTTGGCTCAGGTCATGATCTCAGGGTCCTGGGATCGAGCCCCGAATCGGGCTCTCTGCTCAGTGGGGGGCCTGCTTCCTCCTCTCTGTCTCTGCCTGCCTCTCTGCTTACTTGTGATCTCTCTGTCAAATAAATAAATAAAATCTTAAAAAAAAAAAAAAAGAGTCAGCTGCCCGAAGGAGAGGATGCCTTAAATAAGGAGAGATAGTGGGGGAGCTGTTAGCTGGGACACCTGGGGGCTCCCTGAGTCATTTACAAGAAAGGACTGTGATGGGGGAAGAGTGGCTGAGAAGACAAGGAACGGAGAAGCTGAAAGATCTTACAGGATTTTCCCCTCCACGTTACAATCGCCACTTCATGAAATTAAATTACTTCTTACGGTTGGCATCGTCTTAAATGAACTTTCTTATTGTAAACATCCATTTTAACATCTTGTTCACTAGGATGGTGGCTTACTTGTTTTTGACACTGTGAGCAGTTCAAAAAAATTAAAATATTTATTAAAGTGAATATTACATTAGAAATTATGTCCGCATTAAGCCTGACTACCTATTTGAGAAGGAAGCACCCCAAACGTTCTCCAAATATTTTCTCTCTGAAGCAAGAACCCATGTTTCTCGCCCCCTCCCCAGGGTTTTCCACAGTCCATTTTATTTTATTTTTGTTTCAAATTTTTATTTGAATTCTGTCCAGTTAACATCTATGTAACATTGGCTTCAAGAGTAGAATTTAGTGATTCATCACTTACATACAACACCCAGTGCCCATCACAACCAGTGCCCTCCTAAATGCCCATCCCCCACCTAGCCCATCCCCCACCCACCTCCCCTCCAGCAACCCTCAGTTTGTTCCCTGTAGTTATGAGTCTTCTGGTTTGCTTACAAGAACCCACGTCTCAAGTATATTTGTTCCTCTTAGTGAGTCTTTTGCATTGACTATTAAATAGTCCCTAGAACTGACTTTCAATATTCAACAGGTATTGACTTTGTTTTTTAAGGTGTCACAGTCAAAATAAGAGTATAGATGAACCAGGAGATTTATTGCATGGCAGTGGCAAGAACAAACTGATATTATCATTTAGCAAAGAATTTTGTGATTCAAATATAGTTTTCACATTAATAATTCATTTATTTGGAGTTATGGAAAGAATGTTGGCAAAATTAGTAAGAAGTAATGATTGACTATTTCTAAGTGAAATTTAATTTTTTTTAAGAAGTAGGCTGCCTGCCCAGCATGGAGTCCAGCATGGGGCATGAGCTCATGACCCTGAGATCAAGACCTGAGCTGAGATCATGAGTCAAATGCTGAACTCACTGAGCCACCCAGGTGCCCCTATGTGAACTTTAACTTAATAAAGTACAAGGTATATTTCAAAGCTATACTACTTTAAAACAGGAAAGAAGCTAAATTTGTGAAAAAAATTTCAGAACTCCCATCACATATATGATTTCTATATGTAATTTCTTTAAGGCTATGATTAATTAAATGTATTAAACTAATTGAAATTAAATAACACAAAGAATAATTGCTGAATCTCGAGATACACGGATTTTGAGATATATGAAAATCACCTAAGTTTGCGAAGCTTTTTGTTTGAAAAAGATATTCGTTCTCACAGGTTTCTCCTTCCTAACAAGACCTGACAATTGTAGGGAAGAACTAAGCCTCTGAATGTGTGTACAGTATGAATCAATCGGTCTGGAATTAGCATAGTCAATCTGATGTGATTTTAAATATTTTTAGCTTAGCCTGTTTATCTCAAACTGAAGTTTGGGCTTAGAAGTTGAAATATATTTAAGAGAAACGGGAGGAGATGAAAGCACCAAGTGCCTGGACGTGTCACCGCGGCCGGGCATCCTGTCACCACCCCTGTTTCTGACTTATGACCACTCTACCGTCACCACCTTGGTGGACCTTCTACATGTCACTCTGCTGTGTCTCTAAGCCTCTGCCTTCAGCTCAGGTCATGATCCCAGGGTCTTGGGATCGAGCCCTGCACGGGGCTCCCTGCTCAGCTCCCCGCTTCTCCTTCTCCCTCTGTCTGCTTCTCCTCCAGCTTGCGAGTTCTCTCTCTCTCTTAAAATAAAAAAGATTTGGCATTTTTAAAAAGCTTTCTTTCTTGATCAATATATCTGTTTTAATCTTTTTAAAAATGCTTTGGATACTACTGTGATAGCACCATTTCTGGGTACAGTCTTTTTTTTTTTTTTAAGTAAGCCCCACGTAAGGAACTTGAACTCATCACCCCGAGACCAAGACCTAAGCTGATTTCAAGAGTCAGATGCTTAACCGACTGAGGCACCTGTGGTCCCCCGGAGTACAGTTTTAACAGGAACTGAAAGGCAGCATGACTTTACAGAGACCATCTTTAATAATCGTCTTGGAGTCGAGCTACCCCTCCTCTCGATACATGGAGCCATTCCAAGGTCATTTATCAGTTCTGCTCTCTGGAGGAAGACCCTTCTGTAGCAGAACTGAAGGGTGAGATGAGGGAACTTGCCCTTGTTGTGCAGGGACGTTAGTGGCATTCTGCATAGGGGTTTCTTTGTTTCCAGGCTCAGCTTCGATCCCATGAGACAGGTTCTTTTCCCTTCATCTACAAATATCCAACAATGCCTCTATGTTACGGATGCAAGTCAAAGTATTGCTCCAGAATGTGTGGTACAAGGGAAGCCCAGGGATTTCCATCATAGTGATGGATTTCCCTGGTATAATATAGGCTGTGCAGGAGGTAAGATTTGGACCTAAAGTGTGTTTTTAATCACCAATTTAAAGCGCTATTTCGTGCAGTAATAGAAGGATCTCTTCCACCCTCATGAGATTTCACCGGAGCCAGAGCCCTCAGGAAACAAGAAAAAGCAGCAGCAGAACGGGTCTCCTGTGTTCTGCCTGCGGAGCTCGAGGCTGTGTCTTCCAGCTGATACTTCTCAAGTCCTCAACATGGTGGCAGACTCCACGTGCTGTCTATACTGAAGGGCTGGCCACTTATTTAAAGCTGAGGTTGTGAACATCACTTTCACCCAAAACTAGATTTCCAGGGGACGTCAAACACGGGGCAGGCAACGTGAGCCTCCCAGCTTCCAACCTGCAGCAATGTGTGTGTGTGGTGGGGTGTTGATTATGGGGCAGGTGTACAGGTGTTTGCGCAAGTTTGTAATACCATATGGAAGACTGCATCCAGTATGAAGGGGAAGGAAGCCTGTCCGTAAAGGTTTTAGTAGAGGTTTGCTGTGATCCTGCTGTGGGGGCTACCGCTGCTTCTGCATTTGGCCAGGTTGTAACAAAGACTACGGCCCTGTAAAGACTCGGGCTTCTAGTTCCTACCTAATGAGGTAGGAACTCGGGCTTCTAGTTCCTACCTAATGAGGCATTCTCTTCTCTGAGTCTGTATGTGTACTTACTGCCTTAAATACAGAACCTGAAAATTTAACAACGGGGATTCCGCTTGAGTGAGAAGAAATAAAACCGATCTCAGACCCTTCTGTTATCTTCACCTCTGGGGATGACATGGGAGAGCAATTAAGAAAGGTACCATAAGGAAAAAATCCTTCCTCCATTGAAGGAGGCTGGAAGGGCTTTGAAGAAAGATGAAACTACAAGCGCATACCTTCCCCAAGAATCTTATTAACAGGGCAGCGAGATCACAAATGCAGAACAAGTGCACATGTGCACATTGTGGAAGGCCCCAGCGTTGGCGAGGCTGGATCCCGCCGCCGGGAGGGACAGCCCTAACCGCCGGCGCAATCACGTGCCTCTCCCCGCGATGAAGCTCCCGAGACAAAACGGCCGGGAAGGGAGGCTGCTGCGGGGTTCGCCGATCGGCCGCGGCCTGGATCTCCCGCGCTGGCTGATACCGAAAAGACGACACACGGAGGGAAAGGATGGTTAATTTCCTTGTAACGTGAGCTTCTTTAATTCCCCCTCCAAGCTGTGAACTTTTTACCTCGCTTCATTCGTGCGTCACTGGAGCCGCTGCGGACCGCGCGGGCCCCGGGAAGCGAGCGCGGGCTTCTGAAGTCGGCGCCTGGCTCTCGGGTCCGCTCCGTCTCGGAATGGGCGAGGGGGGAGGCAGGGCTCGGCTCCGAGCGCGCGCGGAGGGCGGCGGCGCGGGGAGCGGCTGCTGTCCCCCCGGCCCCGCGAGGGCCATGGCGGGGCGAGGGGAGCCCGGCTCTCCACCGCCCGAGTCCGCTCGCGGACCTCGGGGACCGCCTCTGCCATTGACATGCAGATCCGGCCCTGAGCGCCCGGGCCAATCCCCGAGGCCGCCTGCGGGATTACCTGGGGGCGAGCGCCGAGCGAGCGCGGCCCCTCCGGAGCGGCCCCGCGGCCGGGAGGCGTGGTCGTCGCGCGCCCCCGCACCCCCCGGGCCCCGGCGCCGGGATCCCGACCCCCGAGCCGCGCGCCCCGCACCCGCCGCGCGGCAGCCGCAGTAGCCGGGGCCAGGGCGCGGGGCGCAGGGCGCGGCCGGGCCGCCCATTGTTGAGCGCGGCCGGAACCGCGGGCGATGCCCTGCGCCGCCTCCTCCGAGCCGCGGCGAGGTTTGAACTTGGCGTCGGCCGGGAGCCCGGCGAGCGGCGATGGTGAGTGCGGGTGGCGGCCGCTCCCCCGGCTCGCGGTCCCGGCGCGGTCCCGGCGCACTGAGGCCTGGCCGCGGGGTGGGGTCTGGTCTAAAAGGCGTTTCTCTCCGTCCCCTTGGGCGACTGTGCAAGACCGTGAGGCTCGGTCCCAGGGCGGGCTCTCCCGGCCAGCGCCCGCCAGCTGCGGGGTGGGGGAGCGCCCCGAGGGTCCCCTGACATTCCGGGCCTGGGTTGGCTTATTATTATTATTATGGCAGCAGGAACTGCCACTCCAAGAGGAAAATAATTGCAGGTTATTGACAGCATGAAAACTTTTCGGAAGAAATGATCTGTGAAATGTTTTAATTTTGATAAATTGCTTCGCGTGGGGGCCCCTACTGAGCTGAGGACGACTTGCCTTTCGTCACTTTGCCGGATTGGTTTCTCTAGGAAAGGGAAATGGGCTTTGAGGGACACGCCTCCCCGCCCCCAACTTGTTCCAGATCTTAAGGCAGTTTTTTTTTTTTTTTTTTTTGCAAAGGTGTGTTCCACGTCCATGTAGCAGAAATTACAGAATGAGAATGAAATGAGACCTGACATTTGTGACTCTGAGTTGCCCAAGGGATAAAAGTGCTTTGCCGAAGGGTGTGGGAGGGCTTATAGAATTTCCATGCCGGGAGCATCCTGGGGCGGGGGGAGTATGGAGTACGTCTGTCTCTTTCTCTCCCTGGTGTATTCTGGCATTACTTTTTTTTTTTTTTTTAATCGTAGTGTTGTGATGAACCTCTGTGCACGGAGGCTTTTGGGCTGGGCGAGAGCGCGCACCCGCGTGCGTATGATCTCCATGGAGAAGCTGCTGTGAGCTGTCAGGGGGCTACAGGAAATCTTGGCAGAGGCTCATAAAGATTGTTCTGGGCGTTTCCTATTTGTACTGATTTAATATTTAAAGGCTCGTTATTTCCAGTTAGAAGTGTTAGATGTATAGCTAAATCCCGCCTGTAAATAACTTCACCAGAAGTGGGTTTACATTTTAATTAACTTTGATGGCTATTTTTGTCTTACAACTTTTTTTTCTGATTATGAAAGTATACATGATCATTTACAGAAAAGGTGGACTGCACAGATCTGAGAAAGCAGTAAACGGTTATTCCTAACAACAACTTTTATATTGTATGTTAAGGCCTAGTTTTTCATAGAAGCCTAGTCATTTGAAAACTTTGCAGTTATGGACATTTTTTTAATTGCTAACAAATTTGGTTTAGGAATTAAACTAGGAAACGCCAAGGAAATAAACTTGCACTTTAAAAAAAGGGTCTAACCAACAATAACTTCTTCACGTGGCTCATGGGATGAAATTTACTGTGGCAGTTTCTCCTGAATCAACTTCCCACATCTGTTCCTGACAAATGGTTTCTGTTTATGTAGCCTGTTTTGTAAATACATGTTTCTGCCATTATGGCAAAGGGCCCAAACATATCCCTTACCGGTGCGTGTAGCTCACTAGGCTCACAGACTTAATATTTTTATTGGTGTCTACATCAGAACTTCCTCACTGTACGCTTGATAAAACCCTGGAGAAGGTTACCAAGGGATGTTGTGGAGAATTTACTTCCCTGGAGGTTTTAAGAATAGGATAAACATTCATCTGCTTTCAGTGCAGCACTGTCTGGATAAAGGAAGATGGGGTCACCTCTCTAAACCCCCAAGTGAGGAATTCTAAGTGCATTTCAGTCCTCAGTAACCTGGGACCAACAGGTCTTGAGCTCCTGAGCCCAGGGAAGCCCTGTTTTATGTAAAACAAAGATCCTCCTTCGGGAAGAAAGATTTATAATTATCCCTAGGACCTGCCAGTTCTTTTCCATTTATGGATAGAAAATCAGCAGCGATTTAATTACTTTCTGAGAAGTCATAGGTTGAATATAGTGTAAGTTGTGTGATTTAAAATAAAGGAATGAACTGATTCATGGGAATGACAGATTCTGCCTCAGGTGGGGAGGGGTGTACGTGTCATAGCCTCCAATCTCAGGATGATGTCCCCGAGAGCTCTCTCCACTCTGGATGCAACCTTCTTTCCAGTTTCCTATTTTGTTTGTTAAATCTGATTACGTTTTTACATCAACGTTCCATTTGACCTTTTTTCCTCAGAATGTATTCTTTAGTAGCGCTTTTGCCCAAACCGCACATATTCCGGTACTTTCTATCGGAGGCTGCTCCCCTGGGCCAGAGGGGCTGCCCTATTGCCGGTTTCCTGCAGAAGGTCCGGATTTCATGGGCTGCGGCTTCCTCTGCCCTCCACCCCCCACTTGACAGAAGGATCCTGTAATTCTAAGCACGGTGTGACCTCAGTGGCGGTGACACCTTCCTCCCTTTCCGTAACGTCACTTAATCAGGAGCAGCCACCACACTTTCTCCCCAGAGGATCACGGGGAGGGTTCACTTTCTAAGAAAGGTGGTGCCGAAAAGAAAGTGGGGAAGTCAAGAGTCTCGCGGCTGGGCAGTTTTCCACTTTGCCTGAATGAGTGCTGCCTCCGTTCACACCCTTTCGGTGTCCTGTTCCTCCACACATGCCAAGCACGTCTTCTGATGCTATGGTAACGCCCAAAGAAGGAACAGGGGTGTCACCACGGTCTTTCGTTTGTTCAGCAGACATTGACTATGGCGGAGGCAGCCCAGGGGATGGGGATGGGTTCTTTGGCCTCAGGGAACCCGTCCTAGAAGAGGACATATCAAATGTCAATAAGCTAGTGCCATTCCGAGGGAGTATAGGGGTTAAGAACTTCAGGTTTGTTATAAGTTAAACATATACCAACCCCATGACCCACGATTCATTCCCCTGCCTAGCTATTTACCCAAGATAGATGCAAGCAAATGTCCACAAAGAGACTTGTACGGAATGTTCATAGCAACTTTATTGATAATTGCCAACAACTGGAAACAACCCTGTGTCCATCCAGAAGATGGATGCCCCGTGGTACAGCCGTACAATGGACTATGACTCAGCAATCAAAAGCTAGATGACCCTCAGACCCATTATATTAAAGAAGCCAGACACGGAAGAATTTCTAAGCAATTCGATTTACAAAGTGCTAGAACAGGCCAAACTAAGCTATGGTAGAAAAGTTAGTGGTTGAGAAGTTAGTGGTTGCCTCTGGGGGGTGGAGGGATTGGAAAGGCTTAAGAGGTTTTTCTGGAGCAACGGAAAGTTCTAGGTCTCGTCTTGAGTGATGGTTGCTTCGTTCTACACAATCTGGCTTCATCAAACTGAACACTTAGGGCCTATGCATTTTATTGTATGCAAAGCATTAGTTCAATTAGAAGAAGAAAAGTACAGGTTCTAGAGCCAGACAAGGGTATATATACATCCCATCTCTGCCTCTCGGTGTAGGTTGCCTTGGGGAAATTATTAAATGCCTCTGAACCTGAAAACAATGGACAATAACGAAGCATCTTCATAGAGTCGTTGTGTGGACTGAGTTCGATAATGGAAGTACTTGGTTTAGTAAGGACCCAGTAAATGTCGCCTAGTACTCCCAGGCCCTGAGAGAAATATAAATGTGGTGGTTTTGGTGTTGATAAAATTATCTGTACTTTTTGTAAAAGCCATCTCATTTATTTAAGATTGTGAAGGATCCTGTAACCTATTAACGGATCTCCTTAGCATTGGATGTATCTTCTTTTTAGTAAGTTCTTTCTTGGAGGTTGTAGGGAATTTAAAGTTCTTGCCTACAGCCTACCTTTTCAAAATACCAGTGGGCCTTTTTGTTGCCAGCAGAGGTAAAAAGAGAGGACATACCCATGAGGCAAACCCCTCTGTTTTTGAGGACTGGTTTAGTGAAATTTGTTGAAGCTTAACGACCAAGTTTATGGCTTCCAAAGGGAACCCAGGTGAAAAGGTTACATTTTACACCCTCTTTTGAAAGATGGTGGTAGACAAAAACTCTTGAACTCTGTATCAAGTTGATATTGTGCTTCTTTTCAAAGGGACCAACTAACTTGAATTTGCAGTAAGATACCTTGGACAGAGTGGTAAATATGATAATAGTTTACTTAATCCATTAAGCTTCAATTATTTGAGTTCAACAAAGTGCTTAGGAAAGATATTATGTACCTTGCCAACTCCAACAGAGGAATTTTGTTGTTGGGTTGGTGTAATTCATTCAGTAAACATTTATCACACGTTTACTGAGAACATATTAGCCCTGGGAATTCAATCACAACTGATAAGATGTTTTACGCTCAGGTTCGCAGACGCCCCTGACTGTAAGTGTGAATGTGTATTCATTTCTCTTGGAGCTTTTTTTCAGAGCAGAGGGCTCTGTCTTGGGCTACTCTTGTTGGTTTTTTGTTCTTGGGGACTTTTTGTTTGTTTTGTTTGTGTTTTTGCCATTGGAAGTGTTTTCTTAAACATCAGAGTTACTTGCTAAGGTTTTCTATTATTATCTTCCTAAAAATAAGAAAAACGGCATGTTCTTCTAGAGAAAGGCAGTTCAGTATAGTGAGAAGGTCCTAGACCACGGAGATGGAGAGCCCCCTTCCCCCCACCCGAATCCCGAGCTTTCCTAGTGGCCAGTGGTTTAGGGCAAGTTCTTAATTCTTTGAGCCTCAGTTCCCTTATGTGTAGAACGGTGGTGATAATACCTTGGAAGAGGTATTCATGCGATCAGATTGAGGCTGTTCTAACCATCAAATGACAAAACACATGTAGAAGTAAGGAGCTTGGCCCTGGTGGGTGTTAATTTCGGAAATGTATTGGGTACTTGCTAAGAGGGAAGCAGTGCCTGAGAATCTTGCATCTTCACATTCCTGTGAGGGAGGCACTCTTGTCATCCCCCTTTAGAGGTGAGGAAACCTGGATCCCAAGAGGTTCGGTAGTTTGCTGAGGGCATGGAGGTGGCAGGGTTGGAACTCCACCGGGTCCTGCTGCTTAGCCGATGACTCCCGTGGTAGAGGTCACCTGCTTTTCCCCTTGAGGTAAAATTATTTTTAAGATTTAATTACTGAAGTACGTGGGGCTAGTGCCACCATTATGGGGTGCATGCAAGGGAACGCTGGTGACAGAGGAATTGGTTGACCACGGCGGGGCGGGGGGACAGGAAGGCGGTAATGAATGTTTCCCCAGGCCCTCCAAAGTCTGCCCATCAGTGGCCCTCTCTGAGCCTGGCCTTCAGCCTCCTATCACCCCAGTGGCTCCAACTAAGAAGT